TTCGATCCTCTTTGTTTTCCCATATGTATATTCCCTTAAATATGTTTTATAATAAATAGATCGAGCAATAATAATGACTGGCTAGTCAACGAAGTGACGTAGCCAGCATTATTGCGAGATCACGGGACTCTGTTGCGTCAGTTAAACGTAATACTGTTACTTGAAAAAATGAAGTAATTTCGAACAAATTATGTTGTAATGGGAAATTTACTAAATTGTAATAGAACTATGTGTTAATGATTTTGTAATGGGAAATTATTCGAAGGTATAAAATGAACTACTGTAGCTGTAAAGTTTTTTCGCTTTGGTTTCGCTATCGCTCGCCTTATAATTGTCGGCCAGCTATATGCTCCCTCCCTACCCACCCACTCTGAGATAATTCCTAAGATACTGAATGAGCAACTACGAATTAGTTATTGTAACTGGTCGAAACTATTCGGTTCTGGTCATCAATACCTTCTCGTGGCTCCGAGAATGCAACGGCATTGCAACGACCACTTGAGAATTGTTAAATCGTGGCTCAAGACTGCACTTACAGCTCATTGACCACTTGATTCAAAATAAAGGCTTCCCGGACATAAGAGCCTTATTTATTGAAATAAATAAAAAAAAAAACCCCCAAGTCCCTAATGGAAAGTCAACGTAGAAAACTTTGCACGCGAAATTAAGTATTAGTGTGCCATTTATCCTACAATTTTATCATTTAATATACATTTTCACTAACAAACGATTCTCTTTTTACTATCGTCGTCTTACACCAACTACCTATCTTACGCATAATTGCTATCTGTTTGTTTATATTAGTGATTACTTTATAGTCGGAAGCTTATTACTCATGCTATTTAGTAGCGAACCATATTCCCATATGTATATTCCCTTAAATATGTTTTATAATAAATAGATCGAGCAATAATAATAAAGTTTAACATCTGGCACTGTTGGCCAGATGCTTGCCACCAACTAATGATAAATATATCACGTGCGTGCAATACTTTTCATCAATAAAAACCAAAATTATACCAGGTGATTCAAAAGTTCATATACACGGTCCCTATTTTTTAAGTAACCTTACATATAGAGATTACTATGATTTCATATTTGCATGAGTTTGTGATCTCTATATATAAGGTTACTTAAAAAAATAGGGACCGTGTATAGGAATTTTTGGATCACCCGGTATTATTACTATTACCGCTTAAACGTTCAATTTCGATAAGTTCTGTAGTTGGTGTAACAGATATCAAATACCACAAACTTTTTATAACGCTTTCAGTAAAATTTTAACTTTCGAGCATTTTTAAAAAATAATTTAAGCCAAGTTTTTGATATACTTTCGACTTCTATCATGACTCTCAGCGGTATTTTTGACTTTCGTTAACATTTCCAGTAAATTAAATCCTGTTCGAAAATGCTTTCGGTAATCTAAAGTACCAGTATGTGCTTTTGGAGTTAACCTTATTCTTGCCTGATTTCAATTTAGTGTTACGGTTACAGTTAGTGCATTATAACATTGTAATAATAAAGCATTCGGTCAGTTTTTAATATTACTATGCATACTAATTTTAGGTTTCGGGTTCGTTGTGGCTCCTCGGTTTTGTTCACTCAACCTCATCAACAATTATAATTAAGATTTGACTCTAAATATTATTTCTTTAAAATAGAAATTTAAAAGTAATGGTAAGACTGTGCCAATGATCGATCACAGGAATTATCGAGTCACATTATTAGTCCAGTAACTCAAGATAATTTTAGATAAATTATCAATTATCTGTCTGGTAAAAAAAAAAAAAATTAAAGTCAAACAACTAAGCACAAGGATTAAAATGAAATCTCTCACCATCACGATGTCATATCTTTGTTTGTCTTTAATGCATTGTAATAGTAATTACGATACTACTGTATATACATACCAATGAATATCTCCCGTACTTAATGATTAAATCACACAAAGTTACAAAACACAAAATGTAGCACTAACAAAAATAAGATTAGAGATTTCATATGTAATAACTGATTTTGATTTTTTATTTATTGATTTTTTAGCAAAAAAGTAGTAACAAAGACGAGTGGATAGAGACAAAAATGAGCAGATCAAAAGAAATTGAAAAAAATATGCCATATGTAAAATATGAAAAATGTGCTCGCAAAAATGCAAATAAATTAGAAATTACGCTTGCAAAAAAATGTAAATTTATAAATGTGAAAAATGTAAAAAAGAAGTGTGAATACAAAAAATAAAAGTAAAGAATGTTCAAAATACTTAAGTTAAAAATCAAAAATATATATGATATATGTTAGAATTGGATCTAAGAAATATGAATGTTAGGCAAAACAAAATGGCTGAGTTTAAGTAGTAAGGAATCAAAAAAAAAACATAGTGAAAGAAATAATTACATTGCATTATAATGAAAGTCTATGTATATATACAGGATTATTTACACAAGAAGGTCGATAATCAGGATAACGAAGACTCTATATTGGAAAAAAGAAAATGAAATTTTGTCTATGGAATAAAAGGATGAAAGGGAATATATTGAATAAAAAAAAAACAATGCTCCCGATATTGAATAAAAGAAGGTATTAAATAAATAAAGTTCTCTGGTCATAGAGCAAAAAGAAAGCTATTATACCGTTATTTTATCGTCCCAAGACGATATTGACAAAATATCTAGGTAATTTAATATAAGTTGCGTAAAATATCGAAACAAACATATTCATCCATATTAGCATGGTAGCCTATAAAAAAACATGCAAAAAATGCATATTTTAGTTCCTGTATTTCTCTTTAAAATTCATAAAATTCATAATAATAAATAAAAAAACTGGTAATCGGAAACCGATTCAAGGCTGAAGTGGGTTATAAATTACAGAAACGATAGGCACAATTAGGATGGAGGTGAATTTAATGCACGCTTGAAAATTATGTTTGGAAAGGCATGAACAGTGTGTGATTGTTGTTGATAAAATTGGTTTCCAAAATCTTTGGTGGGACATAAATTTCAATTATTTAAGCATGTGTTCTCTGGACAATTAATTACCAATTGAATTATTAAAACGTGCCATCTTTTTCAATGGAATTTGCTCCATTATGAAACCGGTTGATTGTTTTTTCAGAATTAACTAATGGCATAGCCTGGGAATTCGTGGTAAAATTGGTAAGAGATGTCGGATTCACCGTTGAGAAATTGAGAAGAGGTGGAGGATCTGTGATGAAATCGGTATGAGGTGTTGCATCACCCAAAAATGGCATTGATATGTTTTGAGGTTCCGTGATGAAATTGACAAGTGGTGATGGTAATTCAAGTGACGGAATTGATGTGGTTTGAGGTTCCATAGAGAAATTGATAAGAGGTGAAACCAATTTAAGCGATGGCATTGACGTGGCATGAGAGACATCATCTAATAGTGATGTTGACATAGCCTGAGAATTTGTAGTGATAAGAGGTGACGCGTAATCAAAAAATGGCGTTGAAATGGGAGATGTTAAGTCTGTAAAATAATGTGGGATTATTTCTGGGAATTGTAAAAAGGACGAATTTTTTTGCTCGTTGTCTGAATACATTGAGGACACATCACTCGAAGAACGCGAAGTATTTGGATTAGAAACGTTCCTATGCAAGCCAACACCAAGTTCGTGGTTTTTGGCTTCTCGTCTCCTTTGTCGATTTTTTTGACTTGACAAAAACTGTCTTCTGGTTCCAGGTGACCGCGTTTTAGAAAAATTTTGCATATTTATTACCGAAGAATTTTCGACCAAAGCTTTGCTTGGCAAACTTTCTTGGGTTGAATCGGCAAACATCTGGTCATTGTTTCGCTGCATATTCTTTATTCCTGAAGAGTTTTCAACTAAACTTCTGTTTTGCAGGTTGGTCATTAGTATTCTCAGCAAATCTTCTGCTAAATATAATTCATCGTTGCTCGAAGGATCTATATTCAAATTTCCAGTTCGGATTAAATTGAGTATTGTCAAAATTAAATTGAGCATTGTCAAAATTAAATTGAGTAATGGCTGTTCGTTTCTTGCTGCTAAATCATTTTCAAATAAATTCTTGATCGACAGAGTTTTTTGAATTAGGTCAAGAAAAGTTAGACCATTCCCATTTAAATTTGTTCTGTCTTCAAATGGTGTACTAGAGCTTTTTTTTTTAGGACCTCTCTTTTTTCGTGGGCCAGAAATACATTTGAGATTCTGTTCAATGCATCGCTTGCATTGACCACCACTTAAATAGACGCATTTGACTTTTTTCTGTCTACAAACATTGCAAGATGCAGTATTGTTAGTTCTTTTATTATTGGATATAGGTCGTTTATCGTTCGGGTTCTTCTCGGAATTGTCGATAGATGAATTTTGGACCATTTTGGATGAAGATAAGGTTATGAAATAATGTGTGCTTATATATCCTTCTAGATTTATTTAATGGTGCTATTCACTATATTAGATAAAACGGTTCAAAAAATTATTCAATGAGCATATCAAATAATTCTCACTATATAAAATCTCGAATTTGAATTTAAGCAAGGATGGACAGATGAAATGGGGTTTTATGTTTTTTTTTTATTATCGGAAAATTTTTGACTTGCCGAATGTAATAAGTGTAACTATATTCAAGCGAATTTCCTTTGTTTATTTTTTCTTTCTTTCTTTTTTTTATTTATTATCATTCGAAAATTTTTTATGGTTCTTTTATATGATGATCATTGATCATTTAATACGAAAAGGGGAAAACGTTATAACCGCGTAAGCCCGAATTATGGAAAACATCATTCATTTCTAGTCGTTAACGTCTTAATCAGTATTGGCCAATAGAATATTTTGACTCGCGAATAGAATAATAGAGAATTTTTATTTCAATTAATTCGTAATGATTAAATATGTTAATATATTAAAAGATTATAATTATTAAATATATTAAATATAAAAATTTTTAATAGACCAATAGAATGCTGGCAATGATTCTACCCTAAATTTCTAATTTATGTTAAGTTTTATTTTAAGTTGCATTGTTATTCCAATCAATTATTAATTGCCATGTGCCATTTCTTAAAGTTAATATTTACCGATTATTAATTGCCATGCATCATTTCTTAATGTTAAAATTTACCGATTATTAATTGCCATGTGCCATTTCTTAAAGTTAATATTTACCGATTATTAATTGCCATGTATCATTTCTTAATGTTAAAATTTACCGATTATTAATTGCCATGCGTCATTTCCTAAGATTAATTACCATGTGTCATTTCTTAATATTTACTGATTGAAAAATAACACAGGTCAATTATTAAAGTTAATGCAGAAAATGAAGGTACTTTTAAGATTTCTTTACTGCCATATGCTTTTTTTTTTGGATTATAAGAAAGTTGATCGATCATTTGAAATATAATTCAGTAATTACTGAAAAGAAATAAACCGGAATTCAAAGAATATTATTACATATTCTATATTGTAAAAACTGGTTCTTCAGCATTAACGAGTCCCCGTACTATTCTAGAACTTTCAACTCACAATATTAAAGAATGTCTAGCTCGTGTAAATTGGGTGTCCTAATTTCCCCACCACTTCATTATCAGAGAACTATAAAATCGATTAATAACACAGATACTCCGATATGTGAATAATTAGTAGAACCATCAGAAGTGGTGGGGAAATTAGTAAATTCGTGTAAATTTAGTATTAAATGAAAACTTAATTGCATCATAATACTGCAATAATTAAAATTTATACGATTGCAAAACGACATATACAGTATCTTTGACAGGTGTCAATTGATAAATACAAAAAAAAAAATGCGTAACAATATCGCATTATTTGGTTTATTGAAAATCACATGATTTCGCATCACGTACGTACGTACGTACATGCGTACATGCATACATTATTTGTTGGGTACTATGGTCCGCACTGTACTTAGCAAGCACAATCACCGTAAACCACCGAAAACACCGTTATTGAACTAATATTAAGTCTTTTATCGATTTCCTTATTTGAAAGAGTATCTTTGACAAATTAAATTTCACAGTAATTCTTATTATCTGTTATTGATTGCTTTGTATCAAATAAATATGAGAAAACCTGCCATCGTGCTTTTAATTATATCTTGTGCCCGGTTTGTTCCCTAAGTGTCGTCTAGGGAAAATCCATCGTCGGGCTTTCAATTATATTATGTGATGAATCGTCACAAATATAATTGAAAACCTGATAACAGATTTTTCCTAGACGGCACTTAGGGAACAAACTGGAAACAAAATATATTTAAAAGCCCGAAACAGGTTTTCCCAACTCGTACAGCGACCTCCCCAAAATTTTCGGAATTTCGTTATACTCCGATTAATTGCTATTACGTTATAGAAAGAATTTTATGATAATTTCAATGATGCTTAGTAATTGGTTATCCAAGTTTACTTTGGTAACGAAAAAGAAAATTTTATAATCAAATAAATGTTAGAATAATAACAATTTCTTTTCTTTTCGTTATCCAAGTAAACTTGAATAGCGAAGAAACAATCATTATTATTCTAATATTTAATTACTAAATATCATCGAATTATCATAAATAACACAATAGCAATTTATCGAGTATAACGGAGTGCTGAAAATTTTGGGAAGGTCGCTGTACGAGCTGATTTTCCCTTTGCAGCGCTCATATATAATATTTCCCAATAACATTACGTAAAATCACGGGAAATTGTGATTTTTCGATATTACTGATTGAAATCCCATTATCGTTATCACGAAATCGTGGGGTCACATCAACTATGTCTTTATTTTTGTATCCGGATAACTAAACGATTCTCAAAATCGATGCTGATAACTAAAATCTATTGATCTATTCTAACTGTGGACCTGTTTATTTAAAATAAAATAATACCGGTAGATTTCTTTATTTCCAGTCTTATGTTTTGTTATCTCAATAATTTAATAATTTATAGGAATTTGACATATTAAAAAAAAATTGACTGAAAGTACTTTTACTTAATATTAGCTATAATTTCATTAAGAAAATTTAGCATAATTTTTTTTTTTAGGAATGACAACGAATGGTCATGCCAGTCATTGTCAGTCACAGGCCATGGCTGTCTAGACACTTTTGCAGTAAAGTGATGTGGTGCATGAGAAATGACCAATCGGGACGCGTAAATTTTGATTGTCCCGGATCAGCCCGACGCCAAGACAAAATATGTGTGCAAGAAAAAAAGAGAAAAAAGCGAAAACTAGTGTTTAAGGCCTATAACCACGAATCCTAACCGGAAACGTAAATAAAACCAAAAAAGTTTATTTGAATGTGCTAAAATGCGCCACATCGCGTTACTGCAAAAGTGTCTAGACTCCTGTTGGATTCTGAGATTCTGAGAGTATGACAACGCGGCCATGACTGATAAATAATGCAAACGGCTTAAGCCGAACTGCGGGTAAAATGGCTAAGCCACTTAGACAGCAGTTCGTCTAATAAATAAATTGTTCGTGTAACTTATTTATTTATATATTTTTTAAAGTACTCATTAAGAACGCAACGCTTCACTAATCAAAAATCAACAAACTATAAACTTTCACCATGCAAAAGAATCCCCAAAACCCCAAAGAACTTTGCTTAAAAGACAAAATATTTCTATCGTTTATTGGACCATATCAAATTATACTGTGAAATGAGATAACTGGAAAAGTTTTGGTTTAAGACTGTCTTGTTACATTATATTTAAATAAACTCTTATTACTAAATACTTAATTTGAATAGGTATAAGCTTATAATAGAAAATGGCCGGTCTAATATTTGAAGATGTTCGGTTATTACAATGTGTTTGGGTCTGCCAATCGTAATAGATTTGATTTATAGGTTGTATATAGGGATGGAAACGGTTACGGTCATGACGGTCATAACCGTAACCGATGCCAGTCGGTCAGAGACCCTTGACTGACCGGTTAAAAATCTGACCAATAATAAAATTATTATAAAAATTAATGTAATAAATATCCTTATATATTTTACTAAGCAAACTAGCTTTTGACTTCTAATAATCATTGTAGAAGATATTCTTAGAACTCTAACCCTGTAAAAAAATTTTCTAAATAATTCCATTATTTCTCCATATTTTTGTGAAACACCATAAATCTGCAACTTGATCAACAAAATCTAGGCAGACCGAATAATCTCCATGATTTAAAGTTATAAATACCATGAATATACAACATTTATAGACAAACCACGGAATCTAAAACATGGATTAACTTTATTAATAGGGTAATAGAGATAAGATCATTAAATTTGGCCTGATCACGAAAAATTTGTATCATACATTTTATGACTATAAATCTTTTTTATAAAGAAAATTTTATAGTCATTAAATGTAAAATACAAATATCTCATGATTTACCAGACCAAATTTAATGATCTGACTACCATTGGAATCTTAAAAATGCCCTTGGCAACTTTAATTAGAAACCAAAAACCAGTTTACTTAGTAAAACACCAAGATCGGATTGTATAAATAATGATCTTTTGTTATCAACACTTATATTAATATAGTTGCTATATATTTGTTAGTCTAGTTGGATTATTAATTTTTCCTAGCCAATTAATGGAGATGTTAATAATAATGTGTAACTGTCATTGGTCATTATATTAACCAAAATAGCTAACGTTGATGAATTGAGAAAAAAATTATATTTTTAAGTATAAATTTTAATGCTTATTTCTCTAAAATATGCATATAATTACTCATTTATTGTTAAATAATTAGCTTAAGAACAAAAGCAGTATCACATGCTTAATGTAAAAGTAGCAAATGTCGCACACAGTAGGGTGTAGGAGTTTCGTACTGTATGTTTTTTTTATTAATTGCGATAAAGTATCGTACATTTCATATATATGTTGTAGGTGTATTCGGAATCCTGCGGATTCAGAATCAACTTAAGTGAATTTCGAGTCTCGAAACAACTAAAGCGGAATAGAATTTTATTACGTTATAACATTAAATATACTATCTATTTTTACACTTAATATTGTGGAACGACAACCGCTTCCACCGTCTACATCTACAAGAATTTTTTTCATTGATCCTATAATCACATTTTGTGCCAGTTATGTAGAAACAGACTGCATTTTTGGGTTTTTCGTACATTAATAATTTGTCTTGATCAACTTCAAGCGTTCCATATTCTGTTGGACCAGTGGTATAATTTATCAAATATTCCATTTTACATCACAAGTGATACGTTTCATTTGATAATTTTTTGATTATTTTGCAAGATAGATCGGTAAATGACGTTATAATCTATTTTGAATTGCAACAAAATGCGTGGCATTAAATAGCAGTTCCAAACTCCATAACAGAAAGAATTTTTAATCCATATATCGACCATTTTGAGTTCACAAACTTGTACTAGTAGGCTCATGTAGTACTGCAATAATAAATTCGTAATAAAATGTGAAATAAAAGTTTTACGTCTAACAAATTATATTTTCTTAACTTAATAACTAATTCGTTAAAAATTTTCTTAAATGAATATTCTTGGGTTGACATTTTAACTTGAAAACTTTTTCAAAATACAGTACTATTCTTTAAATATGTATGATTTATGACTAATATTAAGATCCGTAATCTTCTGATCCTTATTGTAAAAGAAAGTTTTATTAAGCAAAAGAATATAGTACAAATATACAGTGATAATGTTCAAAGAACCACTAACATCATAATGCAGTGTATTTCAAATTTGGGCCCTTAGATGTAATTATGTTTGCTTTTGGTCCTTATTTGTAATTATTGTCGCGGCTGATGCTTGAAATTAGGGACCTCGATTTAAAAATATAAATCCTACCAAAATCCATTTGTACATTTTAATTATCAAAACTAACCCTAAATTCTAAGCCAACTATAAAAAAAAAGCTAAAAAAATGCACCCCAAAATTTTTTGAAAATTTCATATTAAAATATTTAAAATTTCAAGCATCAGCCGTTTCAAGCTTCAGCCGCGACAATTATTTTCATTTTTCAGGCTGTAAATTCCTCTAAATATTATGCTGCATATTTGTACTATTTTTTAATCCTTAGTATTACTATAATATATTGTAGAATATATATATTTTTTATGAATATAAACTAGTAACGTGTGAATACTTATAGCTATTATACTGTTCTCATGAGAACTGTATTTGCTTCTGAATTTTCGAACATTAGTTAAAACCTAGCTTTATATTTCCTGAGCAGTTCGATAAGAACTACTACTATTGGTAGTTTCAGAAGTAACAATAGTATTACTTCGACTATTTAAGTTATTTAAATTGGTTCTTAATACTTCTTCACGAGGCATTAGAAATTGTTCTTTAAAAATTCTACCAGCTAGCCCAATAGCTCCACTAGTTGCTGAAAATGAACCATTGACTACTAAGTAAATCTTATCTTCAGAATATTTGAAGGCCAAGATGGCAAACAATGCAGTGACGAAAGCACTTGCATACTCAAAATAATAAATAAATTTAAGTATTCTTTCTGTTTGGTCTAGGTCCAAGCAATTTACCCTTCTTTTCAGGTAGGTAATAGATTGTTGGCAAATTCGCTGAAGGAGATAAATACTTGCCAAAAAAAAAAATCCAAGAGGAAAATGAAATTAAATAAATTAGTATATCTATTATAGCAATCGAAATAATTCCCTCCACAAAATCAAAAATATGAAAAAATTCCACAAAAATGTCATGAGTAATGCTAATTAGGCCTATTAACAAAAAACCAGCAAAAAAAGTAACAAATATACGCTTTAAATGCTTTTGTCTAAAATCTAAATAGTGATCTGAAATATAAAGATAAACTAATTCAAAAAGGAATGCCAAGAATTGTGAGCATGTAATAACCTGCTCTAGTAAAAACAAAATTTTCAGCTAAAATTACAGTTAATACATAAGTCAAAAGGCCAAAACAACTACTAAATATCACCGCATGTTTTTTAATTAACTCCTTTATTACTAGCATAGGCATGATTAATTATATATAATTTTTAGTTTTTCTGCTTAGTGGCTTTTTCTTATGATTTTTTGTTTTTCTGCTTGTGGCTTTTTCTTTTACTTGTTTCTATTTCTTTTGGTGATATTTTTTTATTTATCCTAAGTTGGTCAAAGTTTCGGTTGCCATAAATGCAGTTATAATTTTTGGAACTTCATACACTACACAATAATAATTAATAATTTAACAATTATAACATTTTATTTGTTTATTTTCAGGTTATTTCATGTTATTTCTAAATTTATTCGAGTTGATCTTATCGTTATTTGTCGGATATATTTTGGTGTATCCTTTGATGTATCCTCGTGATCCGCCACCTTAATCAAAAAGGAAATTATTTATTCAAACGTTTATAAATTGGAGGCTCAAACATAGTTTGATGTGGTCGGTTTTGTATTACCGGGTTTTTGTTAGATTTGGTAAAATTGATTTTCAAATTATTTAGTTACATCAGTACATAATTTGGGTACATTGTGACTAAATCTTC